GATGCATGATTGAAGCATAACTGTGGACGTGATTTCAACTGAAAACAGACATTTAATGGGGTGATAACATTTGAAGCATGTGACCAAATGGCAGAAAAAAACAGATTATTATCACCACATACTGCTGCATGCACCATTTAAAATTCTACCCTAACTGATTTGGACATGATGTGTGTGGAATCTAAGGCCGACAGACTCAACAAGAACGCATAGGATCCATTAAACTGTATCTTTCTGCTGCCATGCTTCATACTCATGGAGGGTAATTCATCACTGCTAATTGCCTAACTTAATCTTAGCACTGTGTCCAATGAGCAAGTGTGTTTATCAGTGTATGTGTGGGCGTAAGGTGGAGGGAGAAAGCGTGCTGTTGCTTACCTAAAAGTGCAACTCCACCCTACATCTGAATTCCATGCCTTTAGTCCCCCAAGCTGTCCAAGAATGTAGCTCTTACACATACAAATTCTCAGAGAACTTTCCCTTCAGTTGGCATCTTTCTACTCAAACCTGCTTTTGCAGTGCACACCAGTAATCCAGCAAAATACACCCAGGGGCGGTAAGTTGCAGTGCATTATTAAGCAAGAAAGAGCCAAGCTGTGTTTCTGAATCAATAGTGGACAGTCAAAAAGAGAATGGAAGTGAGCAGGCAGAGTGAGGTGACAGAATAATTGAGTAGTGCGAGTGGCAAGGAAGCAGTGCCTTCCATACAAAGTAATCCAGCATCTTAAGGCATACAGTAAACAGGCAGATAAGTGATCAGCTCTCGTTAAAACTATCAATCATCTCACAAACACACACTACAGTTATGCAGGGTTGTGAGAAAGTAGCAGCCATAGTCACCCTTGGAGGGGATTGTGTTTCATGGATGAGGCAGCTGAAAAAATTTCATGCAACATAATGCCAGAGCTGTAGACCCCCCTCCTGTTCTCTATCCAAAGCACACACAGACATGAAATACTTTTTTCAGCCATGACAGTATCTTTCTCTTCTGTTTGAAAAAAAGAAAGCCTGCAGGTTGTGTTGTTGTGGCCAACTTTGTGGGTGCATGAGAAAAGAAACATGTGGGTATCACTTACACAAATGGCCTGCATGAATGTGCAAGAGCCAGACAAAATATATAATCTGAGTCGCTGTGGCAGAGCAGCCCTTTCCTATGTTTGTGGTGTTTGAACATGTGCATTCTGCTGATGGATGAGGGAAATATGGCAAACTGGCTATTAGCAGCTATAGTCACAGGAAAGTATGTATATGACATTATTTCTACAAAGTGTTTGTGATGTCTTCTAAAATGGCGAAAAACACTAATGACATTTGTACTTTTCTAGTCTGCCAATGCAGACGTGATTTATCTATGTGGTACAAAGTTTAAAGCTACCATATGACACATTTAGCATTTATGAATTTCAATAAATGTCAACGTATTTAAAAATTATTATAACTGGAATAAACAGAGAAGACCATCACAGAGAAGACTGGCAGCATCTGCAGTGTAACACTCAATTTTGCATGTACAGTGTGAGCCAGCTTCTAATCTACAGTATGTTCTGACAAATCTGCTGATGACCAAAGGTTGGTCAGATTTTTCTGCATTTTGCACTTGCTAACTAACTTACTAACTTGGCCATCTCAGCAAAACTGAATCAACATAGCAATATGCTCCTTTTTAACAACAAATTAACTGTCCAAACTCAGTAATTCTAAAGTTTTATTGACTGTGCTAACAATGCAAATTTACTGAGTCATGTAAAACTGAAAAATATGTAACCCCACTGATCCTTAAAACATCTGCCTCTCACATAGACTTTTAACATCATTGCAAAAAAGCAGGTAAGAGCAATCATCTACACAAAAAGATAGCAGTAAATGAAGAATGTATGCTGAGAAAGAGGAACTGGTTTGTCATGATTCGGTTCTGTGTTGCTTCCTGTCAGGCTTTTATTTTGACGCTACTTCCTGTTTTTGTTTCACCTCTGTTTCTGTCTTTTTACTTTCACTAATCACTCACATTAGATTCACCTGCTCCCGATAGTTTGCACCTGTTTGCACCGCAATATAAGCAGCCTTCACCCACCAATCCCTGCCAGATTGTTCTAGACCCCAGCTCTGACTTTCCAGCATTTTCTTTGGTTTTTGGTATTTTGTGTTTCTGACCCGGATCGTATACTCTGACTATTCTGTTCTGCCTTGCCCTCTTGTTACGGACCGCCACTGTGTATGATTATCGGACTACCCTTTGGACTACGTATTTAGGATCCCTTTGATATATGTGTTTGCTGGCTCTGACCTCAAACTGTGATACCAACCCGTAAGTGTGTTTTTGTACCCTGTGTCTTGTATGGTTTTTTTGGTTAACGTTAGTTCTCTTATTAAAGAGACGGTTTCTGTTCATCATTTCCTCGTCTGGCCATTTAATGGAGTTCACCAAAACCTTTTCGGCAGCATCACACGCCAATTCCTGACACTGGTTCTGACACTAAATTAGCACAATGAAAAGAAAGAGTGCTAATGTCAGGGTGGTAGAAGGGCTATATACTGTACATTTGACCTCAAATCTAAGGTCCTGGTTAGGTCACCATTCATGTGCATTATTGCTGTACAGCTCAGAAGTATAGATGACCATCGCTGCTACCTGAAACAACATCTACTATTTGGGTAATATGATTTTTTTTCATAATTATGATATATTATTCTCCTAATTATTACTTGATATTAATGAGAAAACATTTCATTATATAAAAAATCCATAAGAAAACATTTCCCTTTTTTAAATGAGCAAAAATGGGATTCCAAAATTCATAGTCCTTAGTATTTGAGAGTTCAGCTCTTATTTTTTTCATTTAAAATAATTCCAAAGTATCATATTACATTATAATGAAATACAGTATTTTCTTACAGTGAAGGGGTCCTTTTATTTATTTTTAACTACTGTTTGTAAATGAAATGTGTTCCTTTAGCAAAAGCTACAAGGCCATGCTTTACAGAGGTTGTTTTTTAAGTGTGCCTACATGATTTCCTAGACATAAAAAGTATCACTTAACAGTAATTAAAATGCATCAAGCTATTGAATTCTTGAATATAGTGGTTTTAAAGTAGCAGGCTGATTACTAATTTCAAATAGTTCCATTAATAACTCATATTTAATTAACCATCAAAATAAGCACTATTTTGGTATTATGCAGTTTGCTGATTTTTATGTTGTAGCACCGTAAGGTTAAAGAATTAATCTACGACTGATATGATCTCCCACATCACTTTTAAACTTTTAAGTGTGGCCGAATAGTAATGAGGGGAGGGAAGGTAGTCAGAACTGGGGGGGTTGTACTACCAGAAGGCAACATAGCAGATGTTGAGGACAGCTACAAGTACCTTGGGATCCCGCAGGCAAATGGGAACCATGAAGAGGCCGCAAGGAAAGCAGCAACCACCAAGTACCTGCAGAGAGTAAGGCAAGTCCTGAGAAGTCAGCTGAATGGGAAGA